GGCATTTTATACATTATCTCATTTTCCATCAGAACAAACCTTCAAAATAGTGCCATTATAAACATTTTACGAGAGAAATAAAACATTGTCAGCATCCCACATTTTCCCCTTATGTCCCTTCCTAATCACTGTCATCATCCAACTTCTCAGACAAAAAACTATCCTGATTTCTAATACTATAGTTTAATAGTTTTGCATCTTTATAAAAATTGATATGTAAACTTTTGTGTTTCTGTTTGTAAGATTAATCCATGTTTTGCTTAACTGAAGTTTGTTTATTTACATTATTTTATAGTATGTACAATACCACCATGAATATTCATATGCATGTTCTTAAGAGAATATGTGCACCAACACACATAAAATCATTTTATCCAGAGTCAGACATATTGTAAGAGTTCTAGAAATGCTACTTGTTATTATTTCTGTTGTCATTCATGCTTTTATAATTAGTAAAATAACATGCCTGCTATGGTTTGAATGTATCCCCCAAAGTGCATATGTTGGAAAGCTTGATCCCTGGTGTAGAGGTGTTAGTGGGTAGAACCATCAAGAGGTATTTAGGTCATGAAGGTACTACCCGCATGAATGGATTAATACAATTATTTAAGGACTGGATTTATTATTACTGGAGTGGATTCTTTATAAAAAGAAAATACAAGCCTCCGCCCTTTTTTCTTTCTTTTTGCCCTTCTGCCATGAGATGATATAGTAACTAGGCCCAGTTTCTATTCATAAGATCCTAGAAGATGCTGGTTTCTATTCATAAGACCATGGGAGAATGACCTCAAAAGTATTTCGGAGATCTTGGAGGCAAGCTAGCACCTTAAAGTGAAGACTTCTCAAGGGGTACCTGAAATACCTCAGGTATCCTGTACTGCCTCAGGTCTCTGCTCCCTGCGTATCAATGAGGTGCTTCTTGGCCACCCCAGTCATTGCTCAAGCCAGTCCAGGTGCAGCATGGGCTGCAGTTCTGGAAGGTATAAGTCATAAACCTTGTTGTATACATGTGATACTATTTCTTCAGGCTTGCCGAATGCGAGAGCTGTGGAGTCACAGCTTCCTCCACCTAGATTAGATTTCAAAGGATGTCATGGGCTGCCTGGGGTCCAGGCAGAGACTTGTAGGGGAAAAGCAACAGCAGAAAGAGTCCCCTTAGGGCAAAACCCAGTAGAGCTGCAAGAGTGGGACTGCTGCGTAAACACCAAAATTGTAGAGCTACGAGTGTGCAATGCTAGGCTGGGAGAGCTGCGGGCACAAGACATCAACCCATGAAAGTGGCTCAGGAGTGGATAAAACCCAGTGAAGTCATGGGGGAAAGGTTGCCCAAGGCACTGGGGGCCCAAGCCCTACCCTAATGTGTTCAAAAGGTGGAATATGGAGTTAAACATCATTCTCAAGCTTTAGGATTTAGTATAGTTTGTCCTTGCTGAGTTTTGGATTTACTTGGGACAAGCTATCCCTCTTTTCCTGCCTATTTTTCCCTTTAGGAATGGAAATGTCTATGCTATGCCTATTCTTTCATTGTATTTCAGAAGTAGATAACTTGTTTTGATTCCACAGGCTCACAGTCGTAGGAGAATTTGCCTAAGAATGATTTGTGAGTCTTACTCATATCTGATTTAGATGAGACTCTGGACTTTGGACTTTTGAGTTGGTGTGAAATTAGTTAAGACTTCAGGGTTATTGGAATGGAGTGAATGCATTTCGCACGTGAGGACATCAATTTGGGGGCTGGGGTAGAATCCTATGATGTGAATGTGTTCCCTAAAGTTTGTGTGTTGGACACTTGGTCCCCAGTGTGGACACTTGGTCCCCAGTGTGGGAGGTGGGAACTTTAAGAGGTGTTAGGTTATGATGGCATCACCCTCATGAATGAATTAATGCTGCCATTACAGGAGTGAGTTTTTTATCATGGGAGTGGGTTCCTTATAAAAGATCTCTCTCTCACTCATAAGTGGACCCCGAACAATGATCATAATACTATAAGAAAGGGATTGGCAGTAGTGGGAAACTGCCAGGAGGCAGGGGTCACACTTCATCAATAAGGGTACCTGATCTCAAGCCAGGCAAAGTGGGGGCCAAAGGGAGGCCCAAACTTTACCTGTACAATGACCACTTGTATACCTCACCCTAAATTGTACCTCACATCTTTAAAATAAAATAAAATAAAATAAAATAAAATAAAATAAAATGTTAAAAAGTTTCAGCTAAAGAAATGTCTCTGTTTTTCTTCTTCTCTATTTCTCTCCTTCCTTGTGCCCCCACCTTTGCCCTTCTGCCATGGGGTGATACAGCAAGAAGAGCTCTCCTGAGGTCAGCACCTGGATGTTGTTTCTCTGGATCTTCAGAACTGTGAGAAACTACCCAGTTTGTGATATTCTGTTGTAGTACATGAACAGACTAAGATAATCCCTAAAGTTGTTTATAATTTCCTCCATAGGTGTTATTTGGTTTCTTTTCAACTAATTTCTTGGCTCATTTCTACAATTATTTTAGTACTTTAAAAGAGACATATCTGAGCAAGTGGACATAAATAGCATATCAGTTACTACCCTATCCTTGACAAGAACTTCTAAATAGTACAAATGTCCTTTATGCTAACGTAAGAAGAGCAAATTCTGGCACACTAAATTCTCTTTGCAGTTCTGGTCTTAAAATTATGAGATAAGAGAGTATCATAGATGTTTTATTCCAGTAATATTTCAGATATTGATTCCCCTGGCACCTGTGCACAGAGCAGAGAATAAGGTCTACAGTGTAGTGCAGTCAAGTATATTTGTAGATGTTCAAACAATTCTGTCCAATGACAGACTGCAGGGCATGCCAGAGATCCTATTCTTTCCACTCTGAACCATATTCTGACCATATTTTTTTCATATACTTGGTTGAAGAGACACTTTGGTTGGATTTTAAAATTTACTATCTGTACCTTTTCCCCCTACATGTTTTACAGCCAAAGATACGGATGCAAATCTGTTAGGCAAAGAAAATGCAAAAAGAGTAACATCTATATTTTCATAGTAGCAAAGGAGAAACTATCTTGTCACCTATCATCTCACATGGAAAAGTACAGTCAATAGCTATGGTAGAAGAAAAATGTCAAGTGACTGGACTAGGTGAAAGAAGCAGGGCTGGAATTTATGGAAATGGGGATGACTGATACTATTAATATATTAGAGGTAGTCACTTCAGACTGGAGACAATCTATAATTAAGATACCAAGCTGTAAAATTTAATACTTTCAATGACACACTAAGATAATTGTGTGTCGTTGAAAATATTAACTTACAGTTCCTGGGTAACATACATAAAATGGGAAAAATGTGTGATAGTGATTTAAATTAAAAAATGAAAGTTTTGACTATATTTAATATTTACATGTATCAATTGAAAGCAAATTTTTATGGCCAAAAAAGCGATGTCCTTTTCAGACTTTAAAACATTTTCCGTAAAGTTTTCATACACTTTTTAGTGTGAGATTTATTCTTAGATATATAATATTTGTTGAGGTTATGGTGATTTTTAACCCTATAAAAGAATATTTCTTTTTTAACTGTTTGTTGATGATATGAAGTGGAAAATGTTTTTGAAGATTTATTTTGTATCAAGAAAACTTGCTAAAAGGTCATATTCTAATGATATATTGGAGAATACTTTTGGATTTTCTTCACAATCTCAATCATAATCTGTGAATAATGAGTTTTTTGCTTTACAGTATTTTAAATGGTAGGCTAAATTGATGTTATTATATCTGTGACTGAAACAAATAGAACATGTTTAATGGTAAAGAGCAAAACCGGGAGTGTGTTTAATTTCGAACATGTTACTCTAAGATACCTGAGAAACATTTAGACTAAAATATCAGTTGGAGGTCTTTAACGTCAAAAAACTACTTTGAATTTTAGTGTCTTTTGGTATTCAATCATTCCAAAATATGAATTGTCAGTTTTTTCATGAAATTTGAAGTATCTTTAAGAGTCAAGGCAAATGCCACCTTTCTTTTCTCTGCCACAGTAGTGCTTGCATTTCTATTTTTTACTTTCAAATTGCATTCTATTCTTGGTTCCTTCTCATTAAAAAAAAAAAATGAGACTTCTTAAGCCGGGCTTGGTGGCTCAGCCGGTAATCCCACGCCTTTGGGAGGCTGAGGTGAGTGGATTGCCTGAGCCCGCGGGTTTGAGACCCATCTGGGCAACTTGGCGAGACCTCATCTCTACAATCAAAAATTAGCCGGGCGTGGGAGCGCATGCCTGTAATTCCGGCTACTCGGAAGGCTGAGGCGGAAGGATCGCCGGAGCCCAGCAGGTCGAGGCTGCGGTGGCCGGGAGCGGCCACTGCACTTCAGTCTGGGCGACAGAGTAAGACTCCAACTCAAAAAAATTAAAAAAAAAAAGAGACTTCTTAATGCTTTCAAATTTGTGGTAATATATACTGCATTTGCACAAGGTCAGACACATAGCAGGCACTCACAAAATACATCCATTGAATAACAATAAATTATTTAGATTCTGTCTAAAACTTTCTATGACAAACAACAGATATATTTGGATCCAGATGGTGTAGTATTTCTGTTGAGGAGGGAAATAAAAATCAATGAAAACGAATCTGGCTCATATTTGCATGTCCACATACTTTAACCTTTTAATCATCACTACAAGTGGAAAACTTCGGCCCACGTCAATGATAAATGGATACAGAAATGGTTCCGTTTAGAATTTAGTAGCTCTTTCAAAGAAATAAAAACATTTTTATGAAGGTATGAGGGACTGTATTCCTTAGTAGGTCATTCTGGATTAAGACTGGAATTACAATAAAAACAGAGAAAAAATTTCCTTAAGTGTATGAGACTGTATTCAACAGCAGAAGATTTTGATCAAGACTGGAATTGCAATACAAACAAAGAAGATAAGTATCAGAAATAAATGTTAGTTTGCAACAGTTTGGTTGAAAATTTATTGAGACAAAGTATTAACAACTGGATTTTTTTTCCTATGGCAATGTTCACTGGATTGGATGAAATCTTTGTGATACTAGCAATAGTGGAATTCATACTGGGAATGCTGGGGAATGTGTTCATTGGGCTGGTCAACTGCTTGGAATGGGTAAAGAACCAAAAAGTCTCCTCAGCCGACTTCATCCTCACCTGCTTGGCTGTCTTCAGAATCAGTCAGCTGTTGGTGGTACTGTTTGATTCATGTATACTAGCACTAGCTCCGCGTTTATACATCACTTATCGACTAGCAAAATCTATTGGTATACTTTGGAGAATAAGTAACCACTTGACTACCTGGCTTGCCACCTGCCTAAGCATTTTCTATTTCTTTAAGATAGCCTACTTCCCCAACTCCTTTTTCCTCTGGCTAAGGTGGAGAATGAATAGAGTAATAGTTGTGCTTCTTATATTTTCGTTGTTATTGCTGATTTTTGAGTATGGGTTGCTAGAAATGTTTACTAATTTGTGGATTAACATCTATAAAATGGATCAAAGTAATCTGACTTTATATTTAGATGAAAGCAAAACTCTCTACATTGAAAACCTGACTCTTCTTAGCGTGACCTATTTGATCCCCTTTGCTCTGTCCCTGACCTCATTGCTCCTTTTATTTTTGTCACTGGGGAGACACACTAGAAGCTTGGAGCTCAACTCCATGGGTTCTAGTCACTCCAGGATAGAGGCCCATAAGAGAGCCATAAAAACGGTGATGTCTTTCCTCTTCCTCTTCATAGTTCATTTTTTCTCCACACAAGTGGCAAATTGGATATTTCCTATATTCTGGACCAACAAGTACACAGAGTTTATTTTATTAGCATTAAATATCTTTCCCTCAGGCCACTCATTTATTCTGATTCTGGGAAACAGCAAGCTGCGACAGACAGCCTTGAAGGTGCTGTGGCATTTTAAGAACCATCTAAAAAGATCAAATTCTTAAGCTTTATAGACTTTCCAGGATATTTTCTGAGGAAATGACATAGTGAGGAGTATTTCAGGATTACTTCTACTGTTTTGGTTTTTTTCCCCACTAGGTTCCTTTAAGCATTGTTGAATATAACTGAAATTTTCCCTAACCAGGTTGCTTTTTATCATAATGCACACATTGTCAGCCAGTATCATTTTAAAAGTAATCATTTTTGTTTAGAGCATTGGCATGTAATGTGCTAAAGTCTCAAATATTATTTAAACTGTATTTAATTTTATATATAAAGTATATGTAGCTGCAACTCGTGGGGAAAAAGGCATGCGATTCTTCAGAAAGCAAGATAAATTATAAACTTGAGTGGGTAAAAGATCTCTAAAATGTTAATAGAAAATTTAATTAAGAATGAAAGTCATAGTAGGAAGAAGGTAACCCAATGGCTTAAAAGTCTAACTTTTTTTTTAATTGAAAAAACAATATATTTTTATTATTAGAGGTCTTAATAACATGGGAATAAGTTGTGTGAGAATAGGAATAATATTTGTAGCATAAAATAAATTATCTTTAAATGAAAACTGGAAACACATGATTGTAATGCTAACAATTTGAAACATTTTTGGTTTCTAGGTACTTAACTGATTTTGTTAAATTCTAGGACATGCAATACGTATTTTCAGAGAGGCAGCAATCAGTGTTTCGATCATGTTTTGTAATAGAACTAAAAAATACAGAAAAAGAATCCTTTAATTCAGAATTATGCTATATTACTACTACAAAAAATCATGATTACATTTTGAGAATAATTGTGTTTATGTATGTGCCTGTGACATGCATTTTATTACAATTTAATCACTAGAATTCTTAGAGGAACAAATAGAAACAATGTCAACAAGGAAGGCATAGAGAGCCAAGTTCATAACAGAATGTCATAAGTTTATTGTAAGTTTTGGACAAGCATATGTATATACATGTATGTACATATAGTGCTGATTTGGCTGTGATAATCTAAATTTAGATGAAGTGACTAAAAGTTGTAAATAAGGTTAAGAGTGAGAAAATTTACTATAAAATTTTGAATATGATTATATGAATTATAACATGCATATGTAGTGAAATTTTTAACATTTTCTTCCTAATACACATAAAACTAAATTGCAAGTAAATCTGGGTTATGTGGTGCTTTTATGTACTACTAATAATGATGTTGATGCATGGTTTTAATGATAATATAGTATCTGTTCTATTTAGTAATTTGCATTTTATAGAATAAAATGTAATATTATTCTGAACACTTAGTATTTTATCAAGGATTATACTTATATAACCTAATAAAAGGCAATGTGCAAAGCAAGCTGAATATATTTTAGACTTAGCTACTAAGTTTGTTTCGAAGCTGTTCTTTCATATAAATGACTTAAAGATAACCTTGCACTCTTTTTTTTTTGAGTTGGAGTCTCACTCTGTTGCCCATGCTGGAGTGCAGTGGCATACTCATAGACACCACAGCCTCAACCTGCTGGGTTCAGGTGATCCTTCCACCTCAGCCTTCTAAGTAGCCAGAACTACAGGTGCGTGCTACCATGCCCGGTTTATTTTTTGACTTATTGTAGAGACAAGGTCTCACCAAGTTGCCCTGACTGGTCTTGAACCCCCAGGCTCAGGCAATCCTCTTGCCCCAGCCTCCCAAAGTACTGGGATTGCAGGCTGAGCCACAGCACCTGGCCACCTTGTACTCTTTATAAGATGATAACCAAAAGGACTATTTAGTTTTTAGTGTACTAAATTTTGCTCTAGTAAGCAAGATAAAATAATTGAGCCAACTTATGAGCAACCCTGGCTTCTAATAGTGGGGCCTAGGGGTAAATAAGTAAATGTCTATCTAGGGGTAAGTCCACGCTTAGGCAGCAACCTTAGGGAGACGAACTATAAGGAACAGGGCCCAGTTCTTGACCATGAAAGCAAAGCAGAAAGCTAATAAACAAAAATCCGAATATCACATGTTCTCACTCATATAATGGACCTTGAACATCCAATGCAATACTATAAGAAAATGACTGACGGTACTGGGAAACTATGGGGGGGAGGGGGATGGGATTAACAGTAGCAAATATCTGTCGGGGGATGGGAAAACACTTCTTATCTACAGGGTGCCTGAATGAAACGTCATTGTACACCTAACCCTTAACTGTACCCCACAAAACCATAATAAAAAATACTGATTAATTAAAAAAAAAAAAAAGAATAGTAGGCTACTGTCTGGTTATTGTAATTGATGTGTTGCAGTTCACATCTTTGAATGGCAAGTGAGGTAATGCTCTGCTCCTCCATGTTCCTCAAAACAAGGCCTTTGTGGGGGGACTAAGCAGCAGCCAAGTCACATTCCAAAAAGAGCTGTTCCCAACACCTTCATTGCAAGTCTCATGCAACCTGGAAAAGACTGACATGATTATGTCTTACTGTGGTACTGAAGTGTAGAGAAAAGAGGGAAATTATCACTGGTTCTTGTTGATGCTCATCCTCCCACCTGTCAAATGTTTATTTTGAGAATCTGCATGTAATGATTGTTTATTTCAGTTCATCCTGCCAGATAGTCTTGAGGGAACAAACAATGTGCTTCTACTGTTAAAACTGGTTTATCTCTGATCCCTAGACCTAGCTCTGAAGACATAAATCAGGTACACGAAGGCATGTTTTCTTAGACCCTACTGAACATGTACATCAGATAGAGACTCATATCTATACTAATCTCCAAGAAAGAGGATACTGAGTTTCTTGATGTCTAAGATGGTTTGTCTGTTATTTCCTAGTGGGTGGCTTCTCCTAGCAAAATCTTGATTAGACCCCATCTTCTCTGAGTCAGGGTCATGCTTTAAGGTTATGCATCATTTCTCAATCATTCCCTATTCTCTCATTCCATTCACTGGACAATGTGTTGTCAGGACCCTAACACCCAGCTTCAGAATAAAACATTGAGAAACATAAATAGGAAACTCTTTTTGTCTCCTTGAATACCAAATCTCATTATACAGCATTTCAAATTTAAAAAATCAGTATAAATGCAGCACCATGTTAATAAGTTAGACCACCATATCTTAGATTTGTCATAAGGAAGGGCCAGTGGGCATGTTTCCCTTTAAGGATTTTTAGAAAATCCTTCCATTTTGAAAATGAAAAGGGTTAGGTTTAGTTAAGTTGAACTAGAAAGATTACAGAACAGTGTTGACTTTTCAGGAACAGTATACAAATCTTTCATAAGTCTATATATAAATGGAAAAATTTTCCATAATTTTAAGGAGTGACTTTATCTTCTTGCTCTAATACTTGTTTCAAAACAAGCCTTATTCATTTTCTCTTCTTCTGTGCTCCTAGTAGGATTACTAAGTTAGCACTCATTTATTTAACAAATAGTTATTGAAGACCTACTATTTTCCAGTCCCTTCCTGTGATATGAATTGGAAATAGACCAACAAACAAGAAAAACGTCCCCCTCATGTGGTTGCCAAAAAAATTGGTGGCCAATGTTATTTGTCAATCAGAGCCAAAACTGACTAAATGGGAAACACATTGTCAAAGAACAAGGGGGCAAAATTCTTCTTTGTTCCCGGACAATCAGAGACTTGCAGCTTGTAGGTAGAGAGATTGCTGCCCTTGTTTGGGCGGCACTATAAGGCACACATCCAGGACCTTTCAATGAGCATCAACAATGTAACCCAGGCCAATTAAATCAGAATCCCTGGGGGGTGTCCATAGGTACTAATTTGTCTTTTTAAAGTTCTCAAGTTAATTCCAATGTGCAGTCAGGGTTGAATATCATTGTATTAGAGTTACAAAAAATAAATAAAAACATAAAATAAAATATATTTTACCATAAATTAATTTAATTTAATTTTTAATTTTTATTTTTTTGAGTTGGAGTCTCACTCTGTCGCCCAGACTGGAGTGCAGTGGCCCCTCCTGGCCACTGCAGCCTCCACCTGCTGGGCTCCGGGGAGCCTTCTGCCTCAGCCTTCCGATTAACTGAAACTACAGGCGCGCGCTACCACGTCTGGCTGATTTTTGATTTATTGTAGAGATGAGGTCTCGGCATGTTTCCCAGGCGGGTCTCGAACCCGCGGGCTCAGGCAATCCACTCACCTCAGCCTCCCAAAGCACGGGATTACAGCCTGGGCCTTCGAACCTGGCTCATGAATTAATTTTTATGAGAAAACATAATTTACCAAAGAAAGAATAAAAAGGAGAATCTACCTCTTATTCTCTTATCACACCTTTCCCCCCCGCTACTTTTCTGCCTTCTTTTTTTTTGCTGCTTTTTTTCTTTCACCTGATAATAGCTTATTGAGAACCAAGTAGCCTGTAACTTATTGGAAACCAAGTTCAAAAGTCAGAAAGAATAGCTCAGGTAGAGCTATAATTGTGATACCTTTGCATATGCTTTTACGTCATCGTGTAAAATCATTTCCTCTTCTATCTGTTTCTTCAAGAAATTCTAAAAGCTTCATGATCCAAGCCATTTGTAACTATCCTCATGAATCTAGAAGGAACTGTTGGTCAGAGATTTTGTAGCACCATCCTGTTATAATTTCATGTTGTTTCAAATTTTGGTCACATTCAATGGTAAGAGCATATTTAATGTTATTTGTTTCACTACTCTGTGAGCTCTTTGATGTTGCTTCTTTTTATTATACTTTTTTTTTGAAGATTAAATATCATTTAATTCAAAGTGCTTGGTACACAGTACAATCCTAACAAATATGTGTTCGTTTGTTAAGGGCAGCTGTAAAAAAATAGCACAGACTGGGTGGTTTAGACAACAGAAAGTTGTTGTCTCACAGTTCTGGAGGCCAGAAATCTGAGATCAAAGGGCTAGCAGGATTGGTTCCTTCTGAAAACTGTGAGGGAGAGATCTGTCCCAGCCCTTTTTTATTATATTTAATTAATTTATAATAGAATCTGAATATGAAGGATTTATTTAATGGAATTAATGAATAATGTGAATATTATAAGATTAGACAATT